TGCGTCTCTTCTGAATGCAAAAATGGCTATAACTCGCGTTAAAATAGGTCCACAAAAATTTGGGGATTCAGATGGTTTATGAAAAATTTGGATTTTCGAAAAAAAGTTTTTTGACCCAAAAATGAAAATTTGAGTTTCGGATTTTTTTGGCTGAAATTTTCCAATTTCTGAAAAAAAAAAGATTCCATAACTTACGTATGATCATAGCCGAGCCATTTGATGAGGTACTCGTTTTTTCTCTGGAAAAATTTAAAAATTTGAAAATTTGGATTTTTTGAGATTTCCCATTTGAGGCCTTTTAGGAATTTAGAATTAAAAAAAAATTTTTCTCAGATTTTGTATAATTTTTAGAATTTCAGGATTTTTGGAACAAAGAAAAAATTGAAAAAATAAAAAAAAATGTTTTTTGAATTTTTTGAAATGTTCAGATAATTTCAAAAATCCTTAAAACTCCAATTAATTTGAAAATTTACAAAAAAAAATCAAAATCCTACCGATTTCTTATTTCTCCTATGCTCCAAAACTGCCTGCACCAAGTACTGTGGTTCTTTGGACATTTTATTTCTGAAAAAATCAAAATTTTTGGAAAAAAAAGGATTTTTAGCCAAAATTTCAACGAAAACAGCTGAAAATCCAGCCTAAACTACAGTGATAAGCTTGAAAAGCGCCTCCAACCACCCATATGATATGGTGGCCGAGGTTTCGGGGGTTTCTAGGCCATCGCTTGGGGCAACCGCGCGCGCGCGTCGCGTGCGCTACAGAAAATAGGGGCTAGAAGACGTTAAACTTGGAATTTTTGAGAAATTCAAAAAAGAAAAACAATCTATTTCAAATTTCCTATCGATTGAGCTAATTTTCAAGAACATTCGTTTATTAGAAAAATAGTTACGGGGGAAAGAAGCACGTGGGTGGTATGACTACTGCAAGATGGGTGGGGGTGTGTTCTGTTTCTCTGCGTCTCCTGTTTTTATGTCCTCTCTATAGAGATTGTTAGGTAGATATCAAGAGCATTTGGAAGTTAAAATAGAAAAAATAAAAAAGTAAAAAAAAAAGTTCCAGGAAAAATGTTATGTAAAAATTTCATTTAATAAATTTATTTAAAAAATTAATAAAACAAAAAAAATAAATTTTAGTCATAAACTCCGATTTGCATTCTTCAAACAACCAAAATCCTGATTTTTTGAAATGAGCCATCCCATTGTGCGTCTGAAATTTTGAATTAGAGAATTTAGTCTATTTTTAGCGCACGCCCACTCGAAACTTGCTTTTTGAGCCCGATTATCTGGCTTCCTGTGAAAGATATCAAAAAGTTGTGAACTGATAAAATGTAGGTGATATTATGATTAACATTTCATTAGTTGACAAATTTTTGATATCTTTTACACAAACTGAGATACGTCATTTCGAAGATACCATTGACGCTTGGGCGCAAAAAGGGGGGGGGCGGGAAGCGCCAAGAAAGCTTAGTTACTTTGAGCTCAATTATCTCAATTGCTGTGAAAGACATCAGAAAATGACCAACTAACAAAATGTTCATCATAATATCAGCTACATTTAATTAGTTTATCAATTTTAGATATCTCTCATAGGAGTCGTGATAATTTTTCTTAAACGAAACCTATATTAACCTACCTTCTAGCGTTCCCATGAGCTCTAATGCAGATTTGAAACAATCTTCACAGCTTTTTTGATCGTTTGTTGACTTTTTCCAATGGCTTGGAAATGAGCTGAAAGTATGTGAAAAGTTTTTCGAAAAGTCTGATACAGGTTGAGCAGCGTCCAAAGTTCTGAAACATCATCTTTTGAGCTCTATTATCTCGGTTCCCTAATGAGATACTAAAACATTGTCAACTGATAAAAGGTAGCTGATATTATCACAAACATTTTATTCGCTTACAAATTTTTGATATCTCTTATGGGAACTGAGATAATTGAAGTAAAGCATATATTAACCTACCTGCGTAATCCCTTTCCAGTCAATTGAATGGTTCCTGAGAAAGCATCGTGATATTGATAATTGAAAGTGCTAACAAAAAAATCACCATGAAATTCTCTAAAATTTGATATAAAAGTCATAATCCTAGCACTAAAGAATCAAAAGATATCTCAAAAACTAAAAATGCTATCAATAAAGTGTCAACTACAAAAATGAAGCTCTAGTATACTCTGAAATTTTCAGACAAATACGAAAACTCAAAGTTGCCTATTTTTTTTCAAATTTCCCTGCTTACCTCTATTTGAAGAGCATTCCAGAAGTTTCGAGGTGAATGAATATAGATTTAAATATAAAATTTTCAGAAAAATCGATTTAAAAAAAAGAGAGAGAGAGACATCGAAAATGAGATGGATGTCATGATGAAAATATAAAGAATGAAGTGTTGGTTATCAATTTTTGATATGGCGAGAGAGTGAGAGAATTAGAGAATTAGAGATTAGGAGAACAGAAATTCCTGGTAGACATAAAAATTGGGAAGAGATAAGGAAATTGACAGCGGGCCATCGGCGGTGACTTTTATGTTAAAAAATGTTAAAAATTGAAAATCGAAAAGTTGAAAAATATATCTGAAATTCTGACAAAAACCTGAAAAAAACAGCTTCACAAAGGTGTTCCCTTTTAAGGCAAAGAGTACTCTAATTGAAGGTCCCTTTATAGGTGCACTTGAGCTCAATTATCTCAACTCCTATAAGAGATATCAAAACTGTGTCAACTGATAATGTATTGATGATAAAATGATAAATATTTTATCGATTGACAACTTTTTGATATCTCTTATAGGAGATGAGATAATTGACCTCAAAGTTGGCAGGTAAAGAGTTCAGTATAGACCTGCAATCGAGCTTACGGAAAAGGTAGGTTTAACAAAGCTGCATTTTGAGCTCAATTATCTCAGTCCCCTTAAAGGATATCTCAAATTTGTAAATTAATAAAATGTTTATGATAATATAAACTACATTTTATCAGTTTACAATTTTTTGATATCTCTTGCGGGAACTGAGATATGTGAGCTCAAACCCCAAGTATAGGGGGCAAAGCTCAAAATAGATGATTTTTTCGTTTTCTTCGAAATGACTTATCTCAGTTTCTGTAAAAGATATCAAAAGTTTGTCAACTAATGAAATGTTAATCATAATATCA